GGAGATGCATAAGTGGCTCCTATTCACTTACACTTCACCCTCCTATTTCCTCAAAGTCCTCTTTGAAGTGAGGAGTCCCACAAACCCTACCAAGTATGTCTAATTTTTTAATTATAATTACATAGAACTAAGGGGCTCTTGAAGAAAAAGACAATAAGGTGAGGCCTATTCCAGGATTCATGGATACAGTCTAGATTTAAAGAACTTAAATTTGTGATGGAGGCAAACTACAACTGCTCATCAGAACAATTGAGTATGAGACCTTTAATGTTGTATGGTGATGGGATACTGGGTCTGGAATGGCTGCTTAAGGGGAGGTGTGACACAGTTCTTGCCCCTGGAACATGTCAGGTTGATGATCCCATGACCATCATTTGTGCTGATGGTTGCTGTTGCCCCAAGTTGATCTGCTGTCTTTACTACTCTTCTTTCAACCTTTCTTTCTGGGGAATATACTTCCCCCATTACTCAGAGAAAATCATGCCATAGTAAATGAAACAGATACAGTGTTTAGGGGTGAGGAATGGAGATGGTCATGAGGCTGTGGAGGATGAGAAACAGGTCCCCCGCTTGGCCTTCAGGGTCATGGGAAAGGATATAAACAATATAATCATAAGGACCATAAAAGCCTACCTGGTCCTTTTTGGAAAGTAGTTCATTGTCAGACTTGGCCTTGATTTTGCAATCATGAAGAAACACATGTACCCTCCAGTCTAATGACTGCTTCATTGTTTAGCCAGGATGAATTTAGCGATATTAAGGATAGAGAGTTATAGTGATTTTAGGAAGAAATGGTAGGAATAGAAAGGTAGGAATTTATGTGTAATTTAGGAATACATAGTATTAGGAGAGAACAAGAGGCTATAAAATTACCAGGATGAGGAAATGAAGATTAGAAAATTAAAAGATAGTGTGGAAGCATATAAAAAGTTAGTACTCTGTTTTTCTAGCTGATTGAAGAATTGGTATAACAATGTCTAAAAAGATATTATAGAGAGATGACTGTTTTATTGTTTTATTTATAAGTTTAAAACTTGGTAAGAAATTTTTTAATTTTAGTAGTTTGTCATTTTTTTTTCTATTCTTACATGAAATCAGTTACTAAAGACAGATTGTGTCTGCTGTACAAAAAAACTAGAGGACTATGGCCAGCTACCTGTAAAGAATAGGCTGTGTAAACATATAAGGAAATATGTCTTCCTTTGTGCTTGGTCCTGCTCTAAGGAAACAGAACCTGGGACTATTGAACTGGGAGTTAGAGAGTTTATGTAAATCTAAGAATTATTGATAATTATTAACAATGATCAAAGCCTTGATGATGTAGCTTTAGTAAATAAAAGACTGTGTTCAGGCTGTCTCTGAACGAATTAGGAATTAAGAATTAAGCTGAAGAATAAAGAATACTAAAAATTGTCAGAGAACAGAGAGAGTACATGAATTGACAACTTGCATTTATTACTGACTCTGAGTCATTGAATCAGTACTGTTCCCATTCCTGCCTTTCTCAGGACCCTCCTCACACTGAGGCAGGACCTCAGCAACGGGAGTTCAATAACCTATTCTATTTGGGACGCTTTTCTTGTTCACTTTCTATTTTTAAGTATCATACATATATACAATGTATCTTAGTTATATCCACACCCAACTCCCTACAAATCTCCTACCTCCAGCCCTATTTACATATCTTCTTTCCAACTTCATGTCCTCTTCTTTACAAGACACTCAGTCCAATTAGTGTCTCCCATATATTTATGGGTGTGGAGTCATCCAATAAAACAAGGGAAAGCAACCAATGCCCAGATCCCCAAGAGACTCCGAGTAGCTATGATTGAATGCAGAGAGTAATATGATTATTATGATTGTTCATAGCTGATAATAACCATTAGTGCTTGTCTACAGCTGGAATATTTACATCGAATCCCCTAAAGCACCACAGTTCCCTTACGCTCAGTGTTCCTCATACCAGGGTTTTACTGCTATGAACAGACACTATGACCAAGACAATTCTTATAAAGGACATTTAATTGGAGCTGGCTAACAGGTTCAGAGGTTCAGTCCATTATCATCAAGGCAGGAGCATGGCAGCATCCAGGCAGACATGAGCCTGGAGGAGCTGAGAGTACCCCATCACTCTCCATTGAGCCCTCTCTCCAAACATCACATGTCCTCCCATAGGTCTTCCTTCAGCAAAACACTAGGTGAGCCTGCATCACATGACACAATCAGAAATTTCCACTGCATATCCATCTTTCTGTTTAAAAATTGTCTTTTTTCCTAATATTAACAATCTACAAACAATAAAAATAATTATAAGAACCATAAACTAGATTTTTACATCATATTTTAAGTAAACAGCTAATGTACAATATAGTTTAACAAAATAACCTTAAATTTCTAATAATATACAGTAAAAATACCTTAAATTTCTATCAATATACAGTAAAAACACTTAAATTTATATCAATATACAATAAAGGCAAAACAACCTTAACTTTATATCAGTATACAACAATTAAAGCCTGTGGGGAAAATTTAAAAGGCCGCCTCTGCGGTGTGGCCCCGGAGGGGCTTCCACCACTGGGGCGGGTCCCACATTCGGGAGAAATCCTATGGTTCCAGCAGCCTGGAGGCCTTGGCGATGACAGGCCCCAATAACACGAGGAAGTCCTTGGTTCCAAAAAGGTTTATTGTCATGGCAGATGATAGATGGATCTAGGCGTAACCCCCCCCCCCAGAACTCAGGGCAGTCCTGAGTTATATAGGGAGGGAGAAAGGGGGAGGATTGGGGGAGGATCTGGGGGAGGCATGCTTAATTTGCTCTGCCCTCTGGCCTTCACTAGTATGTAAATCCCTAGGGCCTGAGGCCTATAGCCTGGCCTATGTAATTCTATGGAGACCGTGACTGTTTTTCAGGATCCTGGGTTCTGGGGGGCACCAAACTCCTGCCAGTTCTCATTCAGAATCCTACCCAGAATTTGCAGAGTCTCAGGGTTCTAGGCACCTGCTCCACCATGACCCAGGATACCCTTACGCAGTCCCACATCTCCTTCCCTTTACTTTTTTAAAAAAGGGGGGTCATTGTGAAAATTTTGGATGAGGAAGCCAAAAGAAAGCACTATGTAGGCCAGAGGTATTAGGGTAATCACATCACAGGGTAAGGGGAGTTGGGGGGGGGGGTAGGGAAGGTAAGGGATCATTGAATCAATTAAATA